AATATAATCGGGACGGTAAAACGGAACTTGATATTAAGTCGATTATAGATATCCTGTGGGGATGATACACTAATATAATTTGGCATGGACCAGAGCTATTCGAAGCTTTGTAAATATACTTTATAGATCGAGAGTGCATCTCTAGGCTTTTAGTGGAGTAGTGCTAGAGTTTATAATCATGTGATGAACTTGAAGCTTAACAAGTATTGTCGTGATTATAAGAGCTTTATCTATATATGTCCATTAGGTCTTTTTGCTAGCTCATATAATTTTCTATAACGATATAGCGCATTTTCTATATATTGGTAACTTATGTTATTTTCACAAAAAGTTCAAAGTCAATGTGAGATCGGTGATTAAGTCATGAGTAAATTATAGAGTGAATTAATTGTTAAATTAATTCTAGATAAATTGGTTGAATAATTATTTTAAGTTTTATTTAATATGAGAAAGCTATTATATAGCTGCTTTAATCAGGTAACTTCTACATTTAGTTACTTGAATCAAAAGTGAGGCTCTATGCAAGTTTCACATATAAAATAACTTAAGAAACAAGCAATTCGAAATATGGACCGGTTGACCGGTGATGCGGGGGCAGTTGACCTATACGTAACTTTTGTGTTGTTCTGTATCATACCCCAATCGACCGGTGAGTTTATAAAGGTTCCGTAACCAGTCGACCAGTTAATATTGCTGATGTGTTAGAACCAACTTAATGCAAGTTGTGACATGAGATTGACTTTGGGAAACCTAATTGTTACGGGAATATCCTTTCCTAAACTCTTGTAAATCTCATTATTCATTAGATCACTTGAGAGACTTTTTGGGGTATATTGGTAAGTGTTTTTTAGAGGAAAAACTGATCAATTCTCAAGATCTATTTTTCCTTTTGCTCTCTTGTAGTTGGAGGGAGTTCAATATACCAAGGGGAGATTGAACGACGTGTGCCAACTCACATTCCGAACGGGGAAACGACAATAGCAAAGAAGACCAGTTAGTTAAGGCTCTTCCGCTTGCTATTTGGAACGCATTGATCTCTCAAACGTGATGTTTCCATAATCTCTGAAGATATGATTCGATCTTTGGTATTTATGTTATATAGCATCATGAATATGTTCTTGATTGGCTTTGATATTGATTAAAATTTTTTAAAATTTCGCTGCACACTCAATGTCGTTTTTCTAACAAATAATACCGTTCCATTCTTAATGGGAATAACATGCATATCAGTAATATTTTAATTAGAAATTCTGAAATCTTAATTAAATTTATTACATACATATTTCGATTATTGTCCTTAAATATTATCATCTAGTATATAACATTTATATACAGTATTTAAGGTCACATAAATAATCTTAAAATTTTAAATAAAATTCATAAAGTATTAAATAATTCATGCACATAATTACAAAAGGTTCTTTTTATTAAATAAATAATAAAATATCTTATTAACTTACTTTAAGGACACCATTCCTTATATATCTTTTTAAAAAAAGTCTTTTGCTTATAGTTTTTATGGGTTAGAGTGCGTTGGGTTTGAGGATCCGTATCATGATTCGGATCATAGTTCGTGACTCATTACAGTGTTTTCTCTCACAAAAAATACACGTAAATCAAAAATGATTCTGAATCATGATTCTGAATCAATCAACCAAACGTCCACTCGTACCTTTAAACTTTAAAATTATTCTTATTTTACCCTTTAAACTTTGAAAAGCTCTTATTTACTCCTAAATATTAAATTAACCCCATTTAAACTCTTTTGTAAGATTTTTTGAAAAATGAATTAAGTTTAATCATGTGAGTTTTAACCGTTTATTTTTAACAGACATTAAAATAAAAAAATTACGTGATTATATTATTTTTTTTATTTTTATCTATTTTTAATAAAAATTTTAACATAGAATAATTTAAAATTCAGACAACGAGTTTTTAAAATTAAGAAAGTCAAAATGACCTCAAAGTGAGACACCAGAGATATTAATTCATGTCTTCACTCTTGTCACTTGTATTTTAATGGTAGATTCCGAATCCAATTTCCGATCCATTTTGCACCAAAAAACTTCTAAATCGAAGGTCGACAAGCTGTTGTCTTGTGCGGCAGAGAGCTTTGCGAAAAAAGAAGTGGTTTTAAATTTGGGGCTTGCTTAGAATGTATTTGGAAATGGAGCGACATTTGGGTGAGTAGAAAGCAAATTGAAGAAGGTCATTGACAGAACTTGAATCCCGCTTTTGCCTACTCCAATGGGGAAAGGCTTATTGTGCGATGACACAAGCTCGTGGCGACGGTTGCGAGATCGTTCGCCGTTGGAAAAGGCGACGTTGCTCTCCTTGTTTGAGTGAGGCCTAACTGGTTCTTGCACTTTGGAGAGCCTCCGAAATGGTTGAAAGAAGTTAAGATTATCTTGTTGGGAGGCAAAGCGAGTTGGTTGTCATCAGGGGAGGGGATTGTTGCTGTTGGGAGGAGGGTTGGAGCTTCGTCCTTGTCGGTGTTGATGTGAGGGGAAGGTAAAGTTTTCTGTTTTCTGGGTTGGGGAAAGAAGTTGTCTTGTTTTGTTAATTTATTATTGTTTTCTAATTGTTTTTGTTGGTTTTTGCAAAATAATTTCAAAAGTTCTTATTTTAATTTTTAGATCTTTATGTTTTTAAGATTTAATCTTTTTCTTTTCAGCTTAATTGAGTTTGAACTTATAAATGAGCAAAAATTGTAAGTTTTATAGACAGAATTGGACAAAAGTGACATTTTGAATGCTTTTTCATATATCAGGAAATATTTTGAACTGTTTAGAATAATCAGTAGACATTTTAAAATAAAATAAATGAGAGAATTATGAGAATAATATGCTAGAATGACTATCTAACGAAGTAAAATTAATAAAATGATCTTCTTTATTTTTTATGAAGAATGACTACTTTATTTTTCGTTGTAAAAAGTAATCATTTTATAAATAAAAATTTTTAAAAAATTATTTTATTAATAAAACTTTTTTATTGAGTTATTTTTATAAAGTCTCGGACTGTGAGGGACATTTACGAAAGTAATCCAACTACACACATCCCATTAAAGAAATTGCAGTGTGCAATCACAAACCACGACAATCCAATCCTGCCACAAATAATTTAGGAGAGATTATGGGCGGTTCAATGCAACCCGCCGTCGACAAAAACCTAGGAAGAATAAGAAGCGTCAATTTGGATGCGAGATGGATACTAGGGCTAGGTATTTTCCAAATTTAATATGATCACTTGTATAAGACCTGACAGTCAATTAAAACATTTCAGTTCACAGCTAAAGATAATTATGATGCAATAATATAATTTTTCAAAAAAAAAAAACTAGAAATAAAATAATCAAATGATGACACAATTATTTGACGTGGCCAAAGACCCCTGCAAAAAAAGACCTATCACTCCAGATAAATGAAAGGATCTTATTCGACCTACGTTTACAAGAGTCTGAAATTATAAGTTTGTGAACAAACTTCACCAACGCCAGAACCCACAACGTGATCCCCTTCACTTAACTTGCCTTGAGATGCACAAACTTTACTCCAAGTTTGCAGCTTGTCATTGGTCTAATTGACGTACTCTAAGCTAGGTTGCTCACCTTTATTTCGCTGGTAATACTCCAAGTCCACTCCGCATTTAGTTCCTCTTCAGAATTATTTTGTATTGTTGAATGTACAACTACAACAGGGTGAGAGCTATGGAACTAAGCCTTGAATGCTTGTTGAATCATGTACAATTGCGACAGGGTGAGAGCTATGGAACTAAGTCTCTCTCTCTCTCTCTCTCTCTCTCTCTCTCTCTTAAATAAGCAAAGCCTAGGAAAGTGTCTAAAGACATTCCACTTCAGCTAGGGTAGGATCTGATCATGACCTTACTTGAAAATAAAAAATTTTCTGCAGATAATCTTCATTTTAAAATCAACCCAAATTTCCTACTATGAACTGTCATAACCATCTTGAAAAGATTTGAACTCCTTATCGTGTTGAAAAACGAACCTTATCTTTTCATCTAGATAAATTAAAACTCGAAAAATGTTATGTGCTAGCAACACAACCACATGATATTCATATACGAATTTGATATGTAAAATCTTTCCAAAATCGAATATTAGTTCTTGGATTAGTACTTGGTTTGGTTGTGCATATGTTAAATAAAATTTTGATATCAAGGATAGCAAAGGGGGATGCTGCTACGATTTTTAATCCTACTTTTTAATTTGCATTTTGATTATCAAGTTATATCGGCAACAGGTTGTAGTACATTGTTTTTTTCTTCACTAAATTTCAGGTTATATCAAAGAAATATTGGAAAATATATATGAATTTTTTATAAAAAAAAACAATTGTAAATATCGGTCATGTATTTTTATTTTATCAATATTTTGTTAGCTAAATAATAAAATTGTCACCTAGCGCGTATACATTTTGTATATTAACGTGCCATGATATTAATATTACTTGGATCATGACGAAATTCCAATTATGTTTGAGCTTTATAGGACTTTCTTTTAGTACTTGGATTTCTGTGAAATTTGCATAATGCTTTTATATGAAACTTGATTTATTTATTTATTTTTTTTATTTTTATTTATTTTTTGTGTGTTTACAACCCCAAATTTTCAAAAGGAAGTATTGAATTTTAAAACATTCATAACTTTCATGATATTTTCGATATTACCAAATGCAGATATCATAAATCTCTTTAAATCTGAGATTCTAATATTTTTATCAATACTCAAATTTTCATTCTTGGCTATACTTGGAGCCAAATTTACCACCAAATATCACATGTCAAATTTAGCATTATGAGTAATATTGCATTGGAGACTGATTTCCTTAATCAAATGTTAAAATTTGGTATTGCCATACTAGTTGGCACTGCATTGGAGATGCACTGCCACTATAACATTTCATTAAACTTAAAAAACCAAAAACACATCACCACCATCATTATCATTGCAAACCATGAGAAAATTATTTGCAACCACATTTTAGAGTATATCTAAAAGAAGACCATCAAAATTTCATTATGTGATCGAAAGCATTGGACCATGATAACCAAATCATTCAAAAACCACGACCTGCAATTTGTCTAATTCCAGTATATAAAGAATGACATGAGATTAAATATTAAGACACCCAAGTATTAAGGCCGTATTACGAGCATTTCTGGGGGCAGGAAAGAAAAAATATTGATGCCCCACTCTAATACTTATACTTTCCTTCTCCCTCCGTCAAGTAAAACCAACTATTACAGACACAAAAAGGTGCAGAATGAATTGAAAATGCAGCTACTACATAATCTCCTCCCGCAACCTATTACTACCTTCCAAAAGATCCTTCTGTAGCAAACAAGGTGAGAAAAGCGCAATCAGCAGTGGGTTCTTTCTCAGGCAGGTTAAAAACTCATCCTTGCTGATTTTTCCATCACTATTGGTATCAAATAGAACAAACAGCTCATGGCCCTGCACGCAATCGGTGTAACACGAGTTATAAATCATCATCGTCGAAGATTTTCCATGCAAACTTTGAAGGAACTTCCTTTTTAGAAAACTATTACTTGTTACATGGATGGCTTGGTAAATTTCTTACCTCATCCTGATTCAACTCCGGAATTGCTAATCTGATGGACTCTCCTAGCTGATCCAAAAGCAATAATAAAAGAAGATACAGATCAAGTTATCTGAAAAATCATAATGAGGAAATTTAAGAAAAGAGAAGTAAGAGTAGTGTACTTCTTGCTCCGATATGCAATCATTTCCTCTAGCAGCACATTTGGTGAAGGCTAGTTCGCAGGCTTGTCGGAATAGTGGTTGATTCATGACATTTGTTGATCCAAATAAAAACTAAAAGCAACAAATGAAAGACTAAATAAGAATTATACAGCCAGGCAACTGAATTTGTATATCACCGTCAATTTTCATCTCAAATACATTGTGCAACCATTTTCATCTCAAATACATTGTGCAACCAGTCAGTTGAAGAGAGCAGTACCTGCTTAAATGTGATCGATCCACTTTTCTCCACATCAATGAATGAAAATATCTGCAATGCCACCAAAAATGCACATCAAATACACGGAAAAGTTTCACCGATCAATATGTCAAACTGAAATTTCACCAAGGAAGAAAAAGAAAAAGAGGAGAAATCAAAATGAGTTCGTACTAGGAAAATAAGTAAATATAAGCATTTTCCTCGTAATAGTTTCAGTTTCTTGATTCTCTATATTATGCCATGAGGCTAGCAGCCAATTTCAATATTCGTGGTTTCTTACTACAAAAGGGATTAATCAGTCATAACTACAAGAATCTACACACACATCAACAAGCAAAACAACAAATAAGAACCATGTGGTTTCTGAAGTAACGACCCATTACATCATTTTCAACTTTGCAGTGCAGAAACACCAACATTGGACATCTTCACACCAACCAATTCACAAATAAAGCATGAATATAGGGTAAACCTCTCGAATCGAAAATTTAAACTGGTACGAGAAAACCAAAATGTCCACGGAAAAGCATCAAAATAAAATTAAGAAAAAGAAAAGAGCATATTTAGATTTTACTGGACAGTAGAAACAACAAATGGTTACGTAGCTAACCTCCTCAGATAAAGTACAAGTCTTGAGTCTTAGAACCTTCACAAAATCATGGTATTTAACGCGACCACTGCAAAATATACAATAATGAGAACAAAGTTCCTGAACCTGGATGCCAATCTAAAATCACACGCAACAGAAAGAAGGGGTACCACAAGACATTTAATACTCAGAAATCTCGAAAAGGGAATTTTACCAGAAATCACAATAACATTTCCATTAAGGTCAAAAATAATAATGAAAAAGGTCATGAAAGCAATCCATAAGCCTCCCAGAAAATAGGACACAACACAAATGCATGTAAACAATATTCGAACATTGATATAATGAATGCAGAGAAAAGGATTTAAGAAAATTTAAAAAGAAAAACAAGTTCGCAAGCCTTTTGCATGACTTGAACCAAAATGCATTAACTGATTAGCCAGTAGACATTTAAAAGTGATTTAGTCATGTCTCGCATGCAGGACCAGGATGCTATTTATTAGCATAACAAACGTGTAAAGAAAGGAACGCAGAAGTAAAAAAGAAACAATCTGTAAAGCTCTATGGAACAGCCATGAGTATAGATTGTTCAAAAGCAACAAATTTCATACTCCCAAAAGAAAACTGATAAGTGAGTTTTAACTCACTTATTTAATGTCCTAAAATTGGATAATTTGCAATATCTTCAAGTTTTTAGGTTGTTTTAACATGTTTGTGAGTGATTCAGGTAAACAAAGAAGAATTGGATCACTTGGAAGAAAAACGTCAAAAGGAGCCCGTTGCAGAGGCGCGCCCGCGCGCCCACATCAGGGAAACCAGTGCGCGCCCGCGCCCTGGCCCCCAATGCGCCCGCGCGCTAGGCGCGTTCCTCCAACTTCAGGCGTGTGCCCGCGTGCTATTCCTCCAACCCAGGCGCACGGCCGCGCGCTCTGAGGGCTCTGGCATGCTGAGGTGCCGTTTTCTGGGCATATAGAATTTGGCTGGGCCGAGTGGAAGAGACGGAGAGCAGTGGAGAGTTTTGGGAGACAACATAGACAAAGGAAAAACCCTAGTTTTTGGGGGCAGCAGACAGAGAAGAAAAAAACCCTAGTTTTTGGAGAACCTGAGGAGGAAGCTCTTGGAGATTGGAAGCTGCACTACACTGAGTTTTATTTTTCTTCCTCTCCCTTTCTCTTGTTCTTAGACCTAGTATTTTCTCTATTTTTGCGTATTTATCATGTATTTTCAGATTTGTTTAATCTTGAATATATTTGAGTTTACATTAATGGATTGCTAGATTTTTATGCTAGGGGACTTGATGTAACCTTGCTACGATTATGCTATCAATATTTGATGCTATTTGATGTTTTTCATGCCCAAACATTTGTGCTCTTCTTTGCTTAATGCTTTAATAAATTGAAAGATTGATTAGAAGATTTAGATATGTGAATTTAGGCTTGAGAGAGTCACTTGCACATGTTGGGATTTGTTGAACACAGCCTAGTGAGTATTGGAATCGAGAGATGAATATGAGCTAGGTAATCACAAATGAATTAAAGCTTAATGAATTCACAATTAACTTAATTAATAGGGATATTAATTAGGTGGTTTTGCATATATTTGACTCGGCACTCGAGAAAGGGAGTTGGATTTTTTTAGGAAATTCATGATTAATGTTTGGCTTGAGGGAAATCAATAGCATTAAAAAGGATTAGAATAATTAGGCAAGGTGAAATCAAGGACCCTAGCTACCTTATCATTAGAGCCCCCTTCGATCCCAAAAGTTTCTTCCATTGTTTAATTTGCTCATCTAATTAGTTTAGCATTTTATTTTTGTTTTGATTGATCTCATTCTCATGATTGGACTTGTCTAGATAAAACTGGGTTATTCTAGTTGCGATACTTAGCTAGATTTTAGGAACACAATCCTCGTGGGACACGACACTCACTCACTACTTTATTACTTGTCGACCTCGTGCACTCGCGAGTAGAAAATGTGTTATTTTCGCACCGATCAAGTTTTTGGCGCCGTTGCCGGGGATTGGTTGTTGTTAAAACTTGGCTAATATTGTGACGAAGTAGCCTACTTTAATTTAGACGTTTTTATTTTATTTTATTTTTTGTTTTTAAATTCTTTTAAATTTTTGTTTGCTTGTTTGCCTTTTTGTTCTTGAAGGTGAATGCGAAGAGCCCGTAGCTTGGAATTATTACCTCTTGACTTGGAGATTGAACGGACAATTAGTGAAATTAGAAGGGAAAAGAGAAATCAAGCACGAGCTATGGGTGATCAGAATCATAATAACAATAATAATGAGCAACATAGGGCAATTCGGGATTATTTCAAACCCCAGTTCAGGAACACTATTCAGGTATCCGGAGATAGACTGTCAATGCCAACAATTTTGAGCTGAAGCCTTCATTGATCTCGATGGTTCAACAGAATCAGTTTAGGGGATTGCCTAATGAGGACCCGAACACTCACTTGTCCATGTTCTTGGAAGCGGCCGACACTGTGAAGATTAATGGTGTCACTGAGGGCACCATCAGGTTGAAATTGTTCCCATTCTCTCTTCAGGACAAGGCTCGACAGTGGTTGATGTCACTGCCAACGGGGAGTATTGGCACTTAGGAAGAGATGACTGAGAGATTTCTTGCAAAGTTCTTCCCACCATCTAAGGCATCCTAGTTGCGGAGTGAGATTGGATCTTTCCGCCAGAATGACTTTGAGCCGTTGTATGAAGCTTGGGAACGGTTCAAGGACTTGCTCAGAAAATGTCCTCAGCATGGGTATGATGAGTGGATGCTGATTGACAGGTTCTATAATGGGTTGAATGGCCAATCGAGGACTATTGTTGATAGCACTGCAGGTGGATCATTGATGGCAAAGTCTATTCCAGAGGCCTACAATTTGCTTGAGGAAATGTCTACCAACAGTTATCAATGGCCTTCAGAGCGTTCAATACTGAAGAAAACTGCTAGTATTCATGAGGTGGATCCGTTAATTTCATTGTCGGCACAGGTTTCAGCTTTGTCAAATCAGATTGCAGCCTTAACTAACAGAGAAGCGTCATCTAGCAGAGAGGCAGTGGCAGGTGCCAGTAAATTTTTTGCACAGGATGAGTACACAGAGGAGCATGTTCAGTTTGTGAACAACAAGAACTTTAACTATAGGCCCAATCAATTGCCCAATCACTATCATCCTGGCTTGAGGAACCATGAGAATTTCTCTTATGCCAACAATAGGAATGTTTTGCAACCTCCTCCGGGTTTCAACCAACAAGTGGTGGAAAAGAAACCTTCTGTGGAAGATTTGTTGAGTACCTTCATTGTTGAGACTAGAGGAAGGTTTAACAAGGATGAGACTAGACTTGACAACATTGAGACACATTGTAACAACATGAATGCAACCATGAAGTCCCTTGAGGTGCAAATCGGTCAACTAGCCAATGCGGTTAAGGGGCAATCATCCGGCAAGTTCCCAAGTGATACGGAGCCTAATCCCAAAGACCATTGCAAGACTATCACCTTGAGAAGTGGGAAAGAAGTTGAGGCTCCTAAGCCCCAAGAGGATAAAACCGAGGAAGAAGAGGTAGGATCGGAGCAACCGAAGGAGAGTGCAAGGCCTAAGTCGATCTCTTTTCCGGATAATTCTCCTCTCATCGCTCCTACCCTCCCGTATCCGCAAAGATTCAAAAAGAAGAAGTTGGATGCTCAATTTTCGAAGTTTTTAGAGATTTTCAAGAAGATCCATATCAACATCCCCTTTGCAGATGCACTTGAACAAATGCCTAATTATGTCAAGTTTATGAAGGATGTCATAGCAAAGAAGCGGAGGTTGGAAGATTATGAGACCGTCAAGCTAACGGAAGAGTGTAGCGCTATCCTTCAAAGGAAGTTGCCTCAAAAGTTGAAGGATCCTGCGAGTTTCACTATTCCGTGTACTATTGGAGATTCTCACTTCGAGAAGGCCTTGTGTGATCTTGGAGCTAGCATCAATCTTATGCCTCTGTCCGTCTTTCGAAAGCTCGGACTTGGGGAGGTCACACCAACTACCATATGTTTGCAAATGGCGGATAGGTCTCTCACTTATCCAAGGGGTGTCATAGAGGATGTGTTGGTGAAGGTGGATAAATTCTTTTTTCCCGCTGATTTTGTTGTGTTGGATATGGAAGAGGATCGAGAAATTCCCATCATCCTGGGAAGACCCTTTTTGGCTACCAGAAGAGCGTTGATCGATGTGCAAAGTGGTAATTTGACTTTAAGAGTGAATAATGAGAAAGTGAAGTTCAACATCCTTAACACAATGAGATTTCCGGAAGAGAAATCAACACGTCACCGGGTGGAAGTGGTAGAGTCGTGCATCAAGGAATTCTTTCAAGAAGTAACCCACAATGACCTTCTAGAACACAGCCTCACTACATCCTTGAACATGGCCGATTTTGGTGAAGATCGTTGTATTAAGGAAGAGGGTATCGTTGATAGTGTTCTAGCTCTTGAGGCTTTACCGTGTTAAGTGGGGGATAATGCTCAAGTGAAAATTTTAGAGAAGCTTGGTGAGTGCTTCGTCTCTCCAAGCTCATCGAAAGAAGGGTTAGTGCTGAAACAATTACCGGAACATCTTTGTTATGCCTTTTTGGGTGAGGATTCTTCTAAACCGATTATTATTTCGGCTTCTTTGAACAAGGAAGAAGAAGAGAAGCTCCTAGTTGTTTTGAAGAAACACGAGTCTGCCTTTGCTTGGTCTATTTCGGATATTAAGGGTATAAGTCCTACAATTTGCATGCACAAGATTCTCATGGAAGATGCTTACAAGCCATCTATTGAGCACCAAAGAAGATTGAATCCAGCCATGAAGGAGGTGGTGCGTGCTGAGGTGCTGAAGTTGTTGAATGATGGGATCATTTATGCCATTTCGGATAGCTCATGGGTCAGTCCGGTTCAAGTTGTGCCAAAGAAGGGTGGCAAAAATGAAAATAATGAGCTCATCCCTTCAAGAACAGTGACTGGATGGCGAGTTTGTATTGACTACTGGAAGTTGAACAAGGCCACTAGGAAGGATCATTTTACCCTTCTTTTCATTAATCAAATGTTGGACCGGTTGGCGGGGTA